CACGCCTGGACCGGCTATTCATACGGGGGGTAGTAGTGCCTGCTCGCGGTCTGTGGACTCGTCTGTGTCGATGATTGATGTGCGTGAGGCGGAGAGTACGGTTGGGGGGGCTTCGCGTCGGCCGATGGGTGGGATTGATGGTGAGGTTGTATCTGTATCTGAGAGCTCGATGGGCGGTGGTGGTAATGGTACTGGCCCAGGCAGTGACCCTGGGAATGACGATTGGGTGATTGACGACGATGATGATACGGCGGGGAGTGATAGCGACGATACGGTTGTGTTGAGTCTTCCTGGTGATGATCAGGTGATGGTTGTTAGGTAGTTAAGACTTCGGCGTATACGGGTAGGGATAGATTACGATTTGTAATGTTCAATGTTCTGAATTGAATTAAATCCTCTTTTATTTTTGTTTTGACCTTTTGCCCTTACGAGATGACAACACTCATGCATACTACGATGCATAGATCAAGTCCATCCCTAAGGGAAAATTCAATACAAAGACTCAACTAGAATCATCTCATCCGAGACACCAATGATATATTTAGGAAAACAATCAATTCATTCATTCATCATAAACAATCAAATAAAGACAACCAAAGACAACCAGAACTAGCCAGCAACAACAAACAATCTACTACTCACTCCCTCCCATTGCCGTCGAATATCAAGATCAATCAAATCGCCAATGAGATATGCATGCAAAGGTATCCACAGAAATCAGCCGGTCTATCAGATAAATTCTGCTACTAGCCAGGTGTAGTAGGGTACCGACAGCATGGCTATGTGTGTAGCTATCACTTTCACTCCCATTTCAGTGGCTGATTCAAAGTAAAGATGCTAAGAGCGGGGATATGGAGCTGATTGCACGATGAAAATAAGGTCAAGATGGGAGCCGGTCCTTTTTGGTTCGCGTTCGATTTAAGTAATTCGGTGGTGTGTTTTATCTCTGATTTTCTTCTTTTCTTCCGTTCTTTTTGTTGACTTTCTTCATGCTTATTGTGCATCTTCCATCGTAGAAACATTGTAGCATATTGGCGTCGTGTCGTCTTGGTCGTCAATTTCGACAGTATGGGTATCAATTGGATTCGGAATCAATATTAGAGGGGTGTGAACGTGTATCGATGTGGATGACATTCACCAGCCGGGTCGATTATAGGAATGGCAGTCGTGAAGCTTCAATTTGAAAAGTGCCTATAGGATTGGAGGCAGATCCGGGAGCAGGAACCGGCCATTATCGAGGACCGTGTTTAGGTCAATCTGGTCCATGGTGGGCCGGAGGCCCAGGTCCATGACGTCGCGCGCGACGGCCTTGATCTGCCGCATGATGGTCTGGGAGATGGCCCAGGTGCGGGCCAGGGACTTGAAGACGCCGATGGTGAGGCCAAGGCGGTCGCGGCTGGGATCTGGCATCTGCCCGGCTTTCACGGAGCAAGCGGCCAGCTGAACGATGGAGCTAAGGACCAGAGAGCAGATGAAGAAGGGGGTGTGCTTGACGACGGGCATGCGGATGGAGGCGAGCGAGGAGATCTCGCTGGAGGCCTTGACGGCCTTCATGGCGTGGGCGTGGTGTGAGAACGCGGGGATGCTGCACGGTCCGTGGTGGCCGCAGATGACTTCGGCTGCCATCGCGGGGGACGAAAGCAGGTCGGAGCGGGGGAAATGCAGGTAGATGGAGGCGCCGTTGACGATCATGGTGGCTTGGAACATCATCTCGTCGACGGACCCATCTGGGCGTAGGAGCTCGGCCTTGGATTCGGGGAGGTGGTGGAACCAGCTGGTGATGCGCGCGTCGATTGCCTCCACGTGGTCCTGCTGGCCCTCGACGATCTCCTGGGTGGCCACGACCCGTAAGAGGATCCGGACGGCTTCGATGCGGTAGGTGAAGGAGGAGAAGTCGCGCTCCTCGTCCGCAAAGACCCTCTCGTCGAACTGCGCGATGGTCGGGGCCGGGACCGGCGGCGCGAGGCCGTCCGCGTAGATCCGTTCTTCGCAGGGCAGCGGGACCTCCAGGGGCACGGCACCAGTGCGCGAGGTGCGCTGCACTCCGAGCGCGGTCAGCATCCCCTCGATGATGAACAACTCCCACCAGAGGCGCCGCAGGGACTCGGCCCGCACGGGGTCGCCCTCGCTCATCACCGTCGCGAAACTGGCCGAGTGTAGACCGAGCTCCAGGGCCAGATCGACGGCCATGGTCAGGCACTCGCCCGCTTCGGGGCGCTCGTTGCGCGAGTGGAGGACAATGGCCAGGAGCACAAGCGCCTGCAGCTTCTCGACGGAGGCCTCCTGGCCCATGACGGACGACATGACGGTCGGACGGTAGGGCTCTGGGGAGGCGGCCGGGGTGAAGTGGGCGCCGACGAATTTGATGACATGTTCGAGGTAGGGGGGCACGAAGGAGCGGTAGAGGAGACGCAGCGGGGGGAGGATGGGATGTGCGGGGTGGAAGTAGGTGTAGTAGATGTCGACGAGGTAGCCATCGCCGGGGGCGGGGGCGGGGGCGGAACCCGATTCGGGGGTGAGGGGCTGACTGTACAGCCGCAGGGGTTGTTGCGACGGACCGGGGGTGTCGGTGAGTCCCGGGCTGCCCGACGAGGCAGAGGAGAGGGTCGCGGTCGCCGGCGGCGGCGGGGGCGGCTGGGGCGGCGCCATGGGTGGCGCATACGTGACATGGTTCTGTGGGAGACCCCAATCGGCAGGAACGTTGAAGAAGCTGGCGGCGAATTGGGGGTCGAAGGACGAAGAGGACAAGTCGGAGGCCAATTGGTCAGGGGAATTGGCGCGTCGTTTCTTGGAGGGGCCCTTGTATCCCCGACGGGAGGGGGTATACTGGCACTCCGACCCCACGGCTGCACAGCGGCCACAGACCGGAGTCTTTCCATCACACTTGAGGTGTTTATGCCGGCAGAGGAGACAGGCCAGCAGCGACGGGCCAGCGCCCTTGGGTGGACCCGAGTTCGAGTCAGAGTTCCCCGTGGAAAGAAATGGCTCGTCCATTGTGGAGCGTGGAGCTTGGAGCTTTAGTGAGAGCTCAAGTTGTGACCGCGGCTGTACAACACAGGGAGAGAATGGCGGGGGCACGATCGAAAGGAAGGATCGCGTGGACACGATCAGAAGGGAAATGAGGAAGGGGGGTGTATCAGAGAAAGTGCGATGGTCGAATGGCGAAGTGGAACCGGAGCGGGGGAGTGAAACTGAGTACGGGATAGTAGGAAAGGCTTGGGGGGGGGAAGACGGTCACGACGCAGTATTAATACCCTGGACCAGGGAACAGAAACAAAAATGATGGATCAAGTCGCACAGATTGGGATGGAAACGACGCAGATGCATACAGGCATGGCCCAGCGTGTGATTTCTTCCTCATTCAGCATGGGGTGGAATTGAATAATGATATGACATCAAATGGAGACCATCCCCCGGGCGTGAGAGGTGGAGAGACGTGTAGTTCTTTGGGGAGAGTTCAGGAACCTCGTCGGGGACAGCACTAGAGATTGACGTTCCAATACTCGAGATCCAACCGAGAAACCCCGAAGCAGAAGAGACCAAAGAAGCGACAGCCAAGTCAAGAAGCTGAAGATGGCGAGGATGATTGGAAGAGAAGGAGAACAAAGAGACCGATACCTCAGGCCGTCCATTGGTTCGCTGACTCAGCCGCCGATCGCCCAGCTTATCTGAAGTTCAACAGGAACAGACACCAGACAACGAAACAGATACTATATTCAATTGCAACAGTCACTCAATTACAGGTACGTCTATCTTGATGCCTTGGGATAGATCATCATATATCGATGTGTTTGATCCAAGGTCCCATCCATCTCGCCCCGAGTCTTCACCCCCAGCTAGAACTAACCGACGTGGCTTTTCCAGCCCCATACCTCCCCGTCCCCTCGTCATCGCGACTGGTCGCATCCGATATCCACCTCTGTCAATTGAACCTACCTCTCCAACCATTACAAGAAAGAGAAGAAAACAGAGGACACCAACCACCGAGACCAAAGAAACCAACACGATGATCTCCGACGATGATCTCCACCGCCTCGCCATCTTCCTCGGCTCCTGCGCCATGATGCTGATCATCCTCTACCACTTCCTCGAAGTCAATGCCAAAGACGATGGCTCGGAGACGTCCGCCTCCACGACCAACAAGACCGCTGGCGTGTCGGGGGGGTCGTCTGGCGGGGGGGCTGCGACCGCGGGCGGTTCATCCATCGGGGGTAAAGACAGCTAGTGGTGGTTCTGGGCCTATGGGATTCTTTGCTTTTCCTCTTAGTTAACGTTGTATTATTCCCTTTTGTGTATTTATCGCAGCGTTTGAAGGTATCGGTCAAATGACTGGATCGATTATATCCGCCCTAGGTCTCATGCCGAGGCCCGATGGCAAGTGTATGAATCTTGGAAGTATCTGTCCATGCTCAATGCAAGCTAAACCCATCAACATCCCAGAATCGTACACAACAAAGGGGAAATCATAAATCAAGATACACAAATGCAAGATACTCAAACGCCGTTGACACCGGTGCGACCCAACCCAATGCAAAATCTAGATTGCGAAAGCCATAGTTCCCATAGGCCCATCCGGACAAATCGATCTCCCCTCAAACCCCACATCGTAAACGTCTGATTATTCGACCTCCACCTCGTAGACGCCCGGTTATTCGACCTCCACCTCGTAGACACCCTCTTCGGCCGTCAAGTTCGCGTTCCGCGCGGGCGTCGCCAGCTGACAACCGCCGGGATCCAGCCCGACACCGATCCGTTCCTTCTGCTTGCGCACCGCCTTCAGAATCCCCTGGGCCCGGTCGCGCTGCGTGCTATTCCCATGGACCTTGTTAAAGGCGCGAATGGAGCTAAAGCTGGCCGGGAAGATGAGCGCATCCTCGCCTTTGGACTGGTTGGAATTGGGGATGGGGAGGGGAGTCTCTCCGACATCACTGCCCACTAGATAATACAACAAGATCAGATCATTAACGTAAGTTCCCTTCGAGCTCCCCCGCAAGCCATTGTCAAGGCGCTTTCTCACCAGGTCCATTCACCGACGGCCCATCACCTTGCTTCCAGGCGATGGAGTCCAGGTGCGCCGTCTTGATGTGTTCGAACAGCTGCCACGCCGGCAGATGTCCCTTGAACTTGCACCCCTTCCACGCGCAGCTGATCGAATAGGGCACGTGGAGCTTCAGAATGTGTTTTCGCAGCATCTCCAGGTTGTGTAATTCGGCTTGACAGTTCTGCCATCGACACGCGTACACCTGGTACGATACCGGTAGAGGTGGTGGCACCACCATCGGGACCTTGGTGCTGCCGGCCGGCCGCCCCGGCGGTCGTCCGACTGGTCTTTTGCCCGGTGGTCTCCCCATCTCCACGATCGGCGTCGGGAGGCGCACCTCGGGCTTCGGGCACGGCTGCGGAGGTGCAGGTGTAGGTGCCTGAGAAACAGGCTGGGGCGCGGGCTGGGACTTAGGTTGGGGTTTGGGTTGGGGTTTGGATTGGGGCTTGGGTTGGGATTTGGGTTGGGGCGTAGGTTGCGGTTTGGGTGGGGGTGGGGAGTGCACGTGGGGTTGTGGTATCGGTGGTGGCAGTGGTGACTGCGAGACAGGCACGGGTGGGGAATTCTCTTGTTGCTGAGCGTGCTGGGGAGGTTGGTGTGTCGAGAGTTCCCGATCATCGACCGTGGGCAACGGCGGCGTGGGTTGCGCGGCGGGAAGCTGGGGCGGGATCGCGGGAGTCTCCGGTCGGGGCGCGGACGCGTGCTGGTCACGTGTCTTATCAGGGCCGGGATCGACCAAATCCCACCGGAAGGTCGACAGATCGGACGACGTATCAATATGAGTGAACACGTCGCGCAAACGGGAGAGATGGTGATTCAGAGCAGCCTCCTTCGGGTGACGGCCCGCCGAAATCAAGACATCCCTAGCGATCGTTTTAGGATCATAGGTCGTCTTTTTCATCCCATCGCTCGTCGTAAGACGTTTGGCCATGTCCACGCGGTCCTTGAGGAAGCGCTTATTATTGGGATCGCGCGGAGCATAAGAATATGCGACGAACTTTCCACCGGGGCTGGGTTGCCCGCCGGGTGGTCCGCCAACTGGTTTGACCAAACTCCCCGCGGCACCATTCACCGAATCCATAGTCTTATACAATCCTGTCTTGGGCGGAACTCGAGATGCCGAGTGACCCACAGGATCCAAGTGAGAGCGCGACTTGGATATGCAAAGCCTTTTTGCGGCGCGCGCCGCTTCCATGTCCGCTGCTATGACCCCCTGTCGCGGAATGTAGGACGGTAGCGGTGATGGTTCCGGAGCCGAGAGAGTCGGAAAGCGTTGGGCTGGGGGGTATGAAGGAGCTGAGGCTGGCAAAGCTGCAGAGCGTGGGAGATAGTGCACTGGCGATTGGTAGTGACTCTGCGCAGGACCAGCGGGCGGGAATTGGAAGCTATTCTGTGGTCTCGCGGAGCTCTCGCCGGCAAAGTGTTCGGGGTGGTGGTGCGCCGTGACATATCCGTCGTTGATATTGTGCTGGAATTGCGCGCCCGGTGGAATCATCCCTGCCGGTGCATATTGCGTAGGTGGTGGTGGTGGATGAGGTTGGTTTGTGGGCGCTTGAAACGCGGAAGGTGTTGTGTACGGCGACGTGTGTGCAGGGGTAGGTTCACCGGAAGAAGCTCCATTGCCTATAGACCTCTGCAGATAGTTATCGAGTTGATCAAAGCCCGCGAGCCAGTTGTAATCGTCGTTCGCCATGTTGGACTGTCAATGGCACCGTGCAAGCCAGCGGTCTAGTCAAACCGCGAATCGAGATGCACGCCCCTCAATGGATCATCCTGCAGGGCAGAGAAGTGAGAAAAGAGAACAGTATTGAAAAGGTAGAAGCGGTGATGCTTGATTCCACAAGGAACCTATAACCCTTTCGTTGCAACCATCGGTTGACCAAGACGAGTAACGCGACAGTAGATAGTTGGCGCATCGAAGCCTTGACGATCTTCGGGCGATAAGCCGAACCCCCGGGCGGTGAGCGAGCAACTCCGGATGACAAAGCCCTAGCCGACACGCGGTCATGTGACGCACGGATTCAGGTGACCTCCGCGAAAGTTTCCCAACTTCCTTCTGACAACAAACACATCCCTCACCATCTCTCCGTCTATTGAGAGATACACAACAAATGAGTGTGAGGGAACAGAGTACACTGGTTTTGACACCATGGTGATCAATGATTGATCTTATATGAGACTAGGAAGTCTCTACTTCAATGGTTTTGCCTGTTGCCATCAATATGGATGAGAGGACTCGATAATGACCCGAGCTCCTCTGTCCTGCAAAACAGACGCCTGCTACGAATCAAAGAATGATCAAGCTTGACTCCGTGCAACTGCCGTCTCACTTTTCGTTACAATGTCTATTATCTCGACTCACATCCACATTTTGGAAGCGTTCCTCCTACGCGAACCAGCACCCCCACTCACAACAACCCCTCACTCCCCTCCTAAATCCCCCAACATACCCGCCAGATTATCACCTCGTCAATCCCGTCTTCGGACGACCTGAACATGGTTGAAGAGTTAAATGACTGGCGAATAACAAATCACAGAAATCACGGCTGGTTCTGCCGGCCGTGGAATCTGCCTCGCTTGCAGACTCGCACTGAGCACTAGCTATGACGCTGCGGGTTTGAAAGTGAGATACATATCGTATACGAATCTAACATGTAAACACAACACTGAGCCTATGGGTTGGCTTCACGTCCAGAATCTAGATATACGAATCAAATGGAAAGAATGATGCTGTACATTCAAAATGAAATAGATATGTAGTATCGTGCAGTCTCTCACCATCAAAAGAGACCGAAAATCGACGTTATATAATACAAAGAGCAAACTGGCTGACTTGCGAAAATGCGGATATCACGAATTGAATCGGCGGAACGGTATTCCCACCGCGCTAGGTAAATCGCGATCACGATCAAACAAACACACCAAGCACTTGAGCATCAACGTGAGCGTGAACGTGAGCAAAAAGAGCAAAGCCCCATGCACATTGCACAGCATACTTTACTCACTATGGCCCACACACCTGCCCCAGGCCGGCAGTCCGCACCCCATGCCCACAAACAGGTACATAAGGAAGATGACAACCACAACCAGCAGCGCCATCAGCTTAATATTCTTCCACCACATACGCCTCCGCAGCCCACGACTCCGCAGCCGAAAGTCATGCGCATTGCCGCCCAGCCGATCCGTCTTATCAACAAGCAGATCGATGCGCTCGCCGCGCTCCAGCACGCGCTCGATATTCTCCGTCATAATGTCACGGACGCTATCGATCTCGCGACGGGCAGAAGCAAGCGAGTCAGACGGCGGGGCGGTATTATACGTCTGGAGCAGCGCGCGCAGGTCGGGGTTAAAAGCGGCGCAGCCATAAGCGGGGAGAGAGGAAAAGTCCGTGTTGTCGGGGGGATAGGCGGATAGGAACTTGCGCTTCATTTCGAGGAGGAAGGCGAAGGGGATGCGGCGGCCTTGTTCGGCGGTTGCGACGACGATGAAGCTCAACGGGGCGTAGGAGTTGACCTCCTGGCGGCTGATGTCTTCGGTGGACCCTGTGGGCGAGTCGGCGATGTAGTGCACGAAGAGGCGGTCGTGGGTGAAGGTGAGCTTCTGGCATTTGTCGTGGGTGATCTTGGGGAGGATGATGGAGGCGAGGGATGAGGCGGAGGTTGAGGAGCTGCCTGGGGCGGAGTGTTCGGCCAGGATTGTGGTGCGGTTGGCGATGCAGGTGCTTCATTTGGATGTTAGCTTTCACGCAATAGAATTGGATGATGTTGATTCGGTTCGCAACGTACTAGAGCAGGGAGCTCGGGGGCTTGGATGAAGAAGCCATGATGAATGATGCCTAGGGCCTGCCTAAGGAACAAGATACCAGTTTTGGGTATGACACGGCGCGAGACGAGTAAATGATATTAAGAAATAAGGTAGTTTGATCCCGTCGTATTCTATTGCAATAACAAATCACAACTGGGATGTTGAAGTTGAAGAAAATACTAAAGTGAATTAGCTCAGGAAGTTAGTTTCGTGACGTCGCCGCCAAGATCCCCGGATTCGGTCACGTGATGGCAACTGTCATACATCGGCAGCATTCTTGGAAATTGTATGGAAAAGAGGGAGTTCCTATGGATCAGGTGATTATAAAATGCAGGTTCATTGTGATCATATCCCCTCTAGCGGTGATCAAGAATCCCATAATAGACAATATAGCATAGCTCAAATCGTCAATATGCCTACAGGACTCTAGATAAGACGGAAACACAGACAACAAAGCCGACCACAGTGATTTATTTTATTCAGTTACCTGCAATAATCAACCCAGCAGAATGCCCACGTATGCTCGCCAAAACAAGTATGGAAGAAAAAAACCAACCAGCCAGCACCGCAATTCTATAAGGAAAGACAAGATGGTATCATGCGAATGACGGAAAAGAACAGAGAGAAAAAGCCGCGCGGCACAAGGAGCGTAAATTTCGTATCAAGACCCAAGGAAAGAAAGGAAGACTGAGTAGAGAAGATAGAAAAGGAGCGCTCATGCCCCATCAAAAGGAACCCCAAACTCCCGCATGGCGTCAGCTCGGCGCGAGACGACATCCTCGCGACGGACGACGTTCCGCAAGGCCTCACTAGCCTGGATCAAACCGTCGATGCTGATCGCATGGTTGGTCATTTGATGGTTGATATATGTGTATAGCTCGGCCGACGTGGTGCACGTGGTCAGGAGTTGCTGCTCGTTGAGCTTCAGGAGCGCTAACGCAACTTGGAATAAGAATGTGCTCCCGCCGCCGCTCCCAGATGCAAGGTCCTGTGCTCGAGAGGCGGAAGGGTCTTTGGACTCGCGGGGTCCGGACGCCGCATTCGTGGCAGTGGGTGTTGGGCTCACCACGCTGGTGACATTTAGACAGAGGACAACGTCCCAGACGCGATATAATGCCTCCGCTGATAGACAGTCGGTGAAGACCGACAGGAACCACTGAAAGGTCAGCGCTTCGAGCTCAACGCCCAGCGACTCGAGGTGCGCCGAGAGCTTGGGCAGCACTTGGGAGATATACTGCCGTAGCACCATCTGGTCTGCGCGCGACGCGAGGAGACCGTGGTCGTAGTAATGCTGCGGGAGGATAACCTCGATCATCGAGGTGAGGAGCCAGAAGGTGTCTTCAGCGGTGGGTGTGATCAAGAGGAGTGATGCAGCGATGAGATTCATGCCCTGGCAGTACCCCACCTCCGGATTGCGACGCGAGTACGCAAGGAGGACTTCTTTGAGCTTATCGACCCCCGGCCCTTTGCGAAAGAACACATTGTCGGTCAAGGTGCGGTTGATATCCATGTCGATTTGAGCAACAACGGACGGGTCGGGTTCACTGCCGCCGATCCCCTTTGTAAGGTCATCGTAGTAGCCCGGAACCCGCATCGAGGATGCGCCACTGCACTCTGACCAAACCTTTGCTCTAAGAGCAACAGGAATGCCACCGAGAACGAGGGACCGGAACTCGCGCCACTTGGCACGGCCGACCTTGCCCTTATTGCCCAGACCGGCGATACCCACTACTTCACCGTCCGCCAAAGAAACTTCGGGCATATCAACAGATTGCAGTGGCCGGTCAGCGGCGGCCGCCGCTGCCGCTGCCGCTTCCCCGTCCTTTCTCCGCTCTGCGCGCACCTTGCGAAGAAATTCGTTCCATTTAACGGTCTTATCACGTTGCAGTGAGTCGTGGAGGTCACTCAGCTGCTCAAGGAGCAATTTGACCGGTTCGTTCTCGTTTGCAGCCAGTGTCACAGCAGCGAGAGGTTTGTCTCCGTTGTTAGTTCCCGAGAACTCTGGGCGATCCGCGGTCACAGTGGAGGTAGAGGCTGATGGTTCGGAGTTTTGGTTGACAGCCAGTGAGCCCCGTTTGTCCACAGCTACTGCTGTACCTCGCTTACCCTCGCTCTCGCCAGTAGTTAACGACACGATAGGGCCGACAGAAGGGGTATGTGAAAGGAGTTCAGCCGGTCCCGTGGGCATCCTCAGATAATCCTGCCATCTACGTTGCGAACTATCACTGCCCTCTTGATCGTCTGGCGTCGCAAGGCCGGGAGAGCGCGCTGAACTTGAACTGGAGTCCAACTTTCTGTCGTCATCGCCATCCGAAACATCGCTTCGGAAGCTGCTGATAGTCTCCGTCACGCTGAAGCGATGGCCACCGCTCTTGAGCTTGCTCGCCTCCCTTTGCCTCTTCTTGCGGCGTTGGTCGTAGATGAACCCAAATCGATCTGTTAACAAATCGCTTGACTGGTAATTATTGAACGTGGGGGTAAGCGTCGGGGGTCTCGATTCCAAGGGAAGAATCGCATCCATTTCGACAGGACCAAGGTTGGCTTCATGTTTGCCTGTGTTCTCCGAGCTCGCCCCTTGCGAGACGCTCGTAGCTGCGAGTCTGCGACCGGCCTGGCCGGTCTTGGGGCCCGCTGAACCCGGTCCATTTGCTGATCTACTAGCCGCGGCCTGCAAACTCGGCATATCCGTGCCGCTGTTGATGCGTTTGAGGGCAGCTACTGCGGAGATGCTCCCTTTCGTATTGGCGGCAGCCGCAGATGGATCCCCTTTCCCTTTACCCCGGGCGGCTGAGGGGGCACTACTGCGGGTTGATTCGCCAGCGCTGTCGTCTTTACTGGCTTGGGAGTTCCCAGCAAACAGTTTGACTGTCCACGAAGACAAAGACTTGGACGATTTCCGCGAATGCAGGCTAGCGCTATCAGCGTTGCCTGTACTACTCGTAACCGCTTCCTCGGTACCAGGGTTAATCCGCCCTTCTGGAGGTTGGAAGAGCTGGTCGTCAAGACCCTTGCGACGGGCCGATGCGACAGTGAGGTTCTGCTGCCGCTGGGTGTCTTCTTCCGTTTCTCCAACGTCACCCATGACGCTGCTTGCGCGACTCGGCTTACGACCGTTCGCGTTGCCCCCGAATATATAATCCTGCCAGTTGCGGAGTGATGTCTGTCTCTTCCGTGCCGTGCCGGATGCACTATTGGTCGTGTCGGATCGTGCATCACTTTCGAGACGCGGCCCGCGAACAGTCGATTGCGACATGGACATAGGGCCCGGGATTTCCTGGGGGAAAGAACCGACATCATCGGCCATGGCTTGCTGCATCAGCCCGTGCATAGCGGCCGACGGATTCGCCTGTTCCATGCTATCAGCCCCACCAGGGTGGTCCTTCTCGCCCCGCTTTGCCGAGTAGTCCAGAGTATACAGCCGACGCTCAATATCCTGATTCGACACCGACACCTCCCGCAGCATCCTCTTCAATTCCCTTTCCCTCGCATCAGCACGCTGGCGTAAGGTCGAGATCTCCGAGTCACGCTGCGCCAAATCCCGAGCGAACTGCCTGACCAACTTCACCGCCCCAGTGTTCGAAATCAAGCGCTCGATATGGGCATCATCAGCCAGATGTAGAGCCCCGGGGAAGTCGTTAGCCGGAGGGGCATCATCAAACAGCGCCGCACGCCCAGAATTCTGAGACATGTTGCTCGTCAACCTCGCCAGCGTGGATTTCCGGTCCCGGCTGGAATCGCTGCCGCTATCTCCTCCCCCACTGGTATTGCTGGCGCCACCGGTGCTGTTCGCATCCCCCCGATCCAGGAGCGCATTCGTCAGGGCTCGGTTCAACGCGGGCTGGCCGGTGAAGCCCTCGGGGGATCGATCGGGAGATAGCGAGGGGAAGGATGTGAGGTCGGTGGCGATGGAGGAGGTGGCGGAGAGGCGTTTCTGAGGCTTTGCACGGACGGTCTTAGCCTTTTGACTGTGACGTGAGGAAGAGGATGTCCGGGAGGAAGAACGCTGCAGGGTCTGCTGGACTTCGCACTCCGCCATGGCTCGTGGGGTGGTGGGTAGACCAGGTGAGTGCGGGCGTCATGAAGTTTGCGGAGGATGCTTATTGTAAAAAAGAAGATAGATAAAACTCAGGTCAGACAGTATACAGAAAAGTTGTGTGTTCCTGACGACAGCAGTGGGCGAGATTTATCAGTAAGGTCCTTCCTCCGTCTGTTCCGCCGTTGTGAACACTGAACAGTGATCCGCGTAGATATACCGTCCTCGTCTTGCAACAACAATCAAGTGACCACTGGGCAGCAGATACAGTACCAAAGCAGCAATAGTTCAGAAAGCAGACCGACACGTCGAGAGCAGCTGGAATGGGCGGATGCTTGTTTGAACCCAATTGGCAAGATCAGGTATGCAATCGCCATGACGTGGGAGTGACCGGCTGAGTCATGGCCGGATCGGGTCGGTGGATCTCGGTGCCTCAGGCGTGTATATATGCCTCAGGCTGGTGTTCATGTAATCGATCACCTGATATCAGCCTCGGCTCCCCGCATAACCGAGCTGCATCTAAGCTGGAGAGGGGATGACAGAGAGGAGAAAAGAGGAGATGACATGGGATAAAGTGTTTGCAGTACTCTCCTTGTCTGATAAACAGTCAATCTTTTGAAATCTTGCAAAGTCGCGTACCATTGCATACTATCATACACATCATGCCCTTCTCCGCCAAACAGCGTCTCCAGGCCCTGAGCCAGCAGCTTGCCGAGGGCATTCCTGACGCCGGCAAGTTTGAGGATATTCCTCGCATTCGCCAGGTAGCGCAGGATTCAGTTGGACCGTGAGTATACATTTGGGCGAGGATACATAGATAGTAGCTAACTCTGCGAAGCCGTGTCAAGGACAAGGTCGTTATCGTTACGGGTAAGTTACCACTATCCTCTACTTCCAACCTATACATACCCCCTACCTACATATTTGCCTACGTACATATCCCCTACCTACATACTTGCCTACCATTGTCTCCCTATCTACCTACCCACATACACGCATACAATCTACACAATCCTATAAAACACATGAACTCAAAACTAACAACCCAGGAACCAACTCCCCCGCCGGAATCGGCCGCGCCAGCGCCCACCAATACGCGCACAACGGCGCCAAAGCAGTCTACATCTGCGACTTTGACTCCACCCATCTCGCAACCCACAAACGCGAGATCGAGTCCCTGTACCCGGGCGTGGACGTCCACACGCGGCAGTTCGACGCGGCCAACGAGGAAGCCGTGAAGGCTGTTGTCGCCGACGCGCTGCAAAAGTACGGCCGGCTGGATGTGTTCTTCGCGAATGCGGGCATCGTGGGCCAGCCGGTTGCGTTTACGGATATGAGTGCGGAGGGGTTTGCTAAGACGATGAATACTAACACTATCAGGTTTGTCTTCCCCTTCCACTTTCCGTTTTACATCAAGAAGGGAATATCCGTCCCAGCATGGAAGAACCAAAAACAATAAGACAGATAAACTAATTAATATAAAGCGTCTTCCTCGCCGCCAAACACGCCTCCCTCGCCATGCGCCAAACCTCCGCATCCAAACCCTACCCATCAGGCTCCATCATCTGCACCGCCTCGGTAGCAGGCCTGCGCTCCAACGCCGGCTCAACAGACTACTCCGCCTCAAAGGCCGCCGTCGTCTCCATCGCGCAAACGATCTCCTACCAACTCGGCGGGTCCGGCATCCGGATCAACGCGATCTGCCCGGGTCTGATCGAGACAGGCATGACGCAGAGCGTGTTCGACCGCGCTCGGGAGCGCGGCACGGAGCGCAAGGTTGGGCAGTTGAATCCGCTGCAGCGGGGTGCGGTGGCGGATGAGGTTGCGCGGGTGGCGCTCTTCTTGGGCAGTGATGAGAGTAGTTATGTTAATGGGCAGGCTTGGGCGGTTTGTGGCGGGTTGAGCGCGGGTCATCCGGTTGTTCCTGGGAAGTTGGCTTGATTTTCTATCTAGCTAGCCGGGTATCTGGTGCGAAGTACTGGGGTGTAAATCCGTTAGTACCTACGCATCTACTGTACTTGGTTCCTACTCACTATTGTATATATCGAGTACCATACCATGGATATACCTACAGCTGAGCCACGCAAGCATACTAGGTCGATACAATCAACACTATATCAACTACAAGCAGGGCTTAGCCATGTATAACAATCAAAAAGTATACACTATCCAATGATACGGACAAGAGACGCTCTCAAAGCAGCCCCTCCCAAAGCTATAGACAAGACAAAAGGAAACTAGAAAGATAAGGAGAAGACAGTAAGAAACACCAGAGGGTGAGGACAGGCCCGGGAGCCATGATAGCTCTAAAAGAGAAAATGAAAACAACCCAGCAGTCTGGAAAGGGATAGAAAGGAAAAAGAGATAAAGACGAGCTTGTGCCATATCACAAGTCTGACAATAATACAACCCTATCGAAAGGGCAGATCAAGAAGAGTAAATAAATCCTCCACTAGAGTGAATCGAGTCTCTTCCGGGTAATAGCGCAAAGGCAAAGAGGCGTAAGTGGGAATATCCAAACAGAAGAAAAGAAAAGGTATAGTGAAGACAAAACTTCAAAAAATAAAAGGATAAGAAAAAAAGATAGAAAAAAAAAGATAAAAAGTGCTACTGCACAACTCGCTCGAATTAAAACGGAGGAGCAGATGTCGTGTCAAACTCGTTGAATACAACCGTTGCATCATCGATTGATGTCCCGATTATGCCACCATGCGAGGGTTGCTGGCCCGCATGAGGTTCTCGCTGTTCTGCTTGGACAGCGATCCGCTGGCGGTGTGGTCCTCCAGACCGTCGGTCTCGTGAGCATGCTCGTCGTCGTCCTCGACGATCCGAGTCGGGATCTCACCCGGCCCGTACTGCTGGCTCGACCGCTCCGGGAAGGTCGAGCTGCTCATCATCGACATCGACGTGCTGGAGCGGTTGTGCACCAGGTCGGGCGTGGGCGGCACGCTGGAGCCGCGGTGGTCGGGATGAAGCGAGTGGTTGTCGCCGTCGCCCAGTTCACTGCCGTCGCGGGTCGACCGGCCGTCCAGCGTGTCGCTGGGGGCCAGACGGCTGTCGCTGCGCTCGATCTTGGCGGAGTCTTCGTCGTCCTCGGCGTCCTGGGCGAGCTGGAGGCCCTCTACGGCGGCGGCGCACTGCTCGCTGATGCTGCGGATGATGTCCGAGATCGAATCCGTCTTGTCGCGCAGGTAACGATCCGCGACATCGGTGATGCTGAGACGGGCGAGGCGGTTGCTTCCACTGCCCATGCTCAGGAGGTGCTGCTCGAGCTCGGGGGTCATGTTCGGCATCGCCTTGGTGGGCGTCTCCGACGCGGGGCGCGAGGGCGTCGACTCCCGCAGGGTCTCGATGTCGGACTCGACCTCCTTGGTCTTCTCGACGGCGGCCTCCTGCGTGGCGAGTTCCTGCAGCTCGGTTGCGCTGCCGATGGAGCGAACAATGTGCTCCATGTGGTGCGACTGCCCGTTGATGAGGCTGCGCAGGTGCAAGACGACGCGCTGCGCGTCGTCGCGCTGGCGTGCCAGCGACGAGTTGGTGTGCTGCAACGAGGAGAGCTCGTTCTGGTTGCGCTTGCGCTCCCGCTCGAGCTCCTCGGCGATCTCCTGCTGGAGGACCAGGGCCTCGAGTGCGTCGTCGCGCTGCTTCTCGGTGCCCGACAGACGGAGCGTGAGACGCGCCACGTCGTCCTTCTGCTGGTCGATCATGCCGCTGAGGCGGCGGTTCTCGCGCTTGTGGGTCTCGATCTTGACCTTGAGCTCCGAAGTCTCCTTGGTGAGCTGCTCGGCGAAGGCCTGGAACTTGAGGAACTGCTGCTTCCAGGTCTCGAGCTCCTCGACCAGGAAGTTGTTGCGCTTGGTGACCTTGCCGATCTCGGTGTCCATGCGTCCCTTGAGGTTGATGAAGTCCTGCCAGGCCTCCATGGCGTCGCGGGAGTACTGGTTGCGCTCGCGCACGATCTCGTTGAGGTGGCGCATCGAGACCTTGGTCATGAGGGGCTTCTTGACGGAACCGCCGAAGATGGCCTTCATGCCGGTGTTGCGGCCCAGCTTCTCGCACACGTGGTCCATGATGCCCATGACGGAGTCCTGGTTCCACCACTCGGGCTCCTGGACGCTCTCCACCTCTCCGCGCATGACGATGATCTGTCCGGCGGGGATGAGTTTGCCGCCGGCATAGGCCGAGCGCAGATGGGGCGGGACGCCAGTCGGGGTGATGTCACCGTTCAACGCCTGCGTCAACCGGTTGATGAACTTGGTACGCTGGCCCGGGTTCAGCACGTTGGGCGGGCTCGAGGTGAGCACAAAGTTCCGATCCAGGTCAACGACCAGGGCATCTGAGGGGGCGTTGAAGAGCGTGCGGCATTCCGCCGTCACACCGAGGATGTACGGACCGGGCTCTTGCACCAGTTCCTTGATGTGGCGGGCGTGCACCATCGGGACGTACAGGCCACTCCATTCGTAGACCCGCACGCAATAGCGAATCGTCTCGGCGGCGATGGTGAGCATGGCGGAGTAGTGACTGACGAAGATGATGCGACGAGTGGGGGACACGGCCGCCTCGATCACGCCCACAATGTTGGGAATCGACAAGCAGTTGAAAAGGGGCCACATGGAGAAGTTCTGGAAACCGGTGGGCGACGAGGGGAACTGGTAGCACAAAGCATAATCCTTCATGTCGATGCGGACCAGGTCATTCAAGCGCGGGGCGGGAAAGCTCAGGATGCGGGACACCTCTTCGGCGTGGAAGAGGTTGGTGGCCTTGTTCCAATGGATCCACATGCCGCGCAGGTAGTCGCCCAGGAGGTCGTAAAGGGGGTATCGCGAGAGGAAGCTCAGACAGTAGGGGATCCAGTAGGTCTCGTCGGGGTTGTCGTAGTAATCCGATTCGGTCTTCTTTCGCAGTTCGCGGATGGTTTCGGCGCGCTTCTCGTCGGCCCGCGACCACACCCGGAGAGCGATACCGTAGAGAGTGTGGGAGGAATCCTGCTGCAGGACGAAAGCGTGGTGAACGCAGTGCGGCTGGCTCTTGCCGGTGCAGATTTCGACATCATGGGGGAAACAGGCCTGTTCTGTCAGTCATCTTTCTCTTCTCTCCCCGTTCTCCGTGAGAGTCAAACAAAAAAAAAAAAATAATAATAATAAATAAAATGAAATAGAAAGGACATACTCGCATCGCCGAGTGCAACGACTTGGCCACTTCATTGTCCTGTTCCAGACGGGGACTGCTCCCCAGAATCTCAGGCAGCCAGAACTGACCGACGGCACCCTTCATATGACCGATCTTGCCCTGAGCGGGAGCGGGAGCCTTGACCCATTGGGAGGGTTCGCGGCCCACGCCGCAGACCATGTAGGCATGGGTGAGGGTCTTGGGGGTGCGCTGGGCGGGTTTGGCATTCATTTGCGAAGGGATAGGCTGGGTGATGCGGGAATGAAGCGAGGAGGTGCGACTAGGAACGACCAGCGAATTTTCTCCTTGATCGCGGGTGACGGGGCGGTCGCGGGTGGACGGACGGGTGATGTGGTCTCTCAGAGACGGACTCATGATGATGGCAGGGTCCCAAGGAACGGACGAACTAGCGTGTGGGTAGGGACCGTATATATAGTTTTCTTTTTCTTCTCTCTCACAAATCGAGTCCTTAACCGCAGGTTATGAGGAACAGTGGAGGTTGATATCGAGTTAAGGCGAAGGACAGATACAACCCCAAGAGGTATAGGGATTGAACATCAGCTGAACAGGAGAGGTGTTTCCTGACAGCAATTGTAGCACTGCTAAAGATGTCTCTTCGACAGTCGAATAAAATGAAATAAATAAAATCAAAAAAGAAAAAAAGAATGAAAAAGGGGTGGGGATGCAGTGGGTAAAGAGAGAGAGAACCGACGGCACGAGTCGAGACCAAACACTGAGAAGGATGGGAACACTAGACCGTGATGAACATTTCCCAGGCTAATCAACGCGTCTTGTAAAACCGAGGCTTAAAGACGTGGAGAAGCGAGGAAGATGTCTCTGACCGTGGGTGGTTGGAGAGATAGGGAGGGGGGTAGAGAGAAGAAGAGGAAGCAGAAGAGGAGGGAGTCGAGAGGGGAAGTGAAGAAGAGCAGAAGAAGGGGAAAAAGTATAGGGGTTGGTTGAGGTAGAGAATTAGTGCTTAATACGGGATAGTAATGGGGAGGGTAAACTCAAAATCTGGACAGGTACTTCCTCTGCAGTAGTGAACTCCCTAACTAAGGAGGTACCTCAGACGGAGATAAGCCAGTCCCACGCATTGGTTGGAACGGCTTGGAGACACTAATGTTTTTCCCCACTAAACCTCGTTGGTTTGGTGGATCTTTTACCATTTAGTATCGAGTAGGTTGGTTCTTTACGCTTTCTTTGATTGTTTTGGTTCGTTCTGGTTTCCAGAGTATAACGGACGCGCATATGGATCCACATGATATATTCATATAATATATTATATATTATATATTATAGGAATATATATAAATAACACGATGAAATTGACCTCCCTCCATCGGATCTCACATCCCAGTCGGTCCTCCGAATCTCACCATGCAGGTACTCGCGGATGAACACCCTGAACCAATCCATCATCCATCACCCCTGGGCCCGTGCGGAGAGTAAGAGACTGGAAGAACCACTTTGAGAACCAAGTAAGAACAGGAAGACCGCTAGACTCCGAACCGGTTTCTCGACGGGGCGGCTCGGCGTCGCCTCTTTTTCCCACGCGAGAATGGATCTTCCCACGAGCCTTGAGCCAACCAAGGGAATGGAAGGAATGGAATGGACGGGAAATGGACGGGAATGGTCGAGGAATATGACAAATAGCTGGGGAACGGTGGATGCTCTCTCGATCTGGTCAAATGATTATTCTTTTTTTCATACCCACACCCCCTCTCCAATCTTCCCTGTTGGGCATTGCTAACTACCGACTTGGCTAGGCTGCTGGATTGGACGGTAGAGTCGGCTCGCCATTTGCAGTGCACTGAACAAGGAAGGAATTCCTTCCTTGACCTTTTTTGGGTTGTCTTGGAGAACAACACGACGACTGATGCGAGGAATCTGCATCTCTTGCAGTGACTTGGTCCCGGACAATGCACCCGTCATTGATCCTGCAAGGGGAATCAAGCCACCTTCTTGTCGGATTGTTATTTGCTGACATGACACCAAAGACAGAATCTCCCGTGGGAGGTGGCAAATCGCAATGTTGAAGGCAGGCAGAGATCTCGAGTAGCCAGGGATAGAGCACTGGACAGTGGGAGGCCCGGTCGGGGTTTTCCGACCGACGATCTTCATTTGCATGGATTGGCTGCAGTTCCTGTTCGTGCTCGCTATTACCTGGCTCCTGAATCCCTGCTCTGTTCAGCCTTGATCTATTCACATGAAAGTAACCATCCTGGGTTGTGAGACTGCCTTGGGGAATCAATGACTACAATACCTAGGAATGCGGATCAAGGAAGAATAAGTTTGGGAGAAGAATTCCGAAGAGAAGAAGTCAAATTCCAACCAGCCCTGTTTAAACCCACCCAAACCCAAACCAGGGACCGCAAAGTCTGACACAATCGCCTCGTAGCAGCAATCTTCCAGTGTAGCCATCTCTCTCCTCAAAAACAGACTCAACCAGGATCAACCCTCCACAATGCAACCCATCCGAATAGTAGACAGGAATCCTCCCACTGATCCAGTCCCTCAGCCCGTAAGAAGGCTGAAGCGACCGACCGCGCGTTTTCTCCCGTCTCCCGCCCAGATCCACCGCAGCGAGTCATACAGGAGGATCGGTCCTACAAGACACCACTTCCAATTTCAAATCATTTCTGCCGTCATCAATCGAGATACTGGCTGAGTCCGACGCACTCCGTATATACCGTATAAGAGTAGTAGAATCATGTCGATCTCACATGGACGCCTCCCCCCCCCTTCCACATCAAGGGGCCTTCTCCACGGATCTGATCGAGCAGACGCACGGTAAAATGAATCGTATCGATCTCGTTCCCTCCCGCAGGCAGCTGAGGAAAGGCAAACACATGGATCTATGAACTATTCGCAGTGACTCTTTTAGACCTCCACAACGAGGTACTGTCAGGGGAAGAAGGGTAGATATGTCGCATGACGCATTGCCTCCTCTCTCCGCTAAAATACACTGACGAAAAAGAGAGAGGAAGAAAGTGGATCAAAGCAATCGTGGAGCAGACAGCAACCACGGTTGACGAAGTTTGGTATTGATTTTTGATTGATTAATACTGAGCATGGTCTGGAAAAGACGGGAAAAGACCGTGGTCAGCTACCGTCACCCGCATCCAGATGTAGAATCCGATCGGATGAGCGGGCCTGAACCATGGAACGGAGCTGATAGTCTTGATCGGAATTGCACAATCCGGATGTGCTAATTTGGTAGAGATCAGGTCTGGTCTTGATCAAAGCTGAAGGTCTGGACAGTTTAATAGACGCATACTCCTGTCTGTTCCTGAGTAATGGGTGCCATTGTTCTATCGTGCACTATTGCCGTTATTCCTCATGGCTGTCGGTCACTATCCCTGAATGAATCCACGAGTCCTCAGCCAGCCGGCCTTTGCGAGTCATGGTTGTCGGACTAGGTCAATGGTATCCAATAAATCATCTACTATGGAAACACTATAATTATATTCATGAGACAATATACCATACAATACACCAAGAAGAACAAACGGTGGTTGGGCTGAGCACGCTTGGGCCATACATACATACATACATACAACTCGAGATATTTTTATTCTATCCTGTGGAGATCTGGATCTCTTGATTTACGCATAGTCAGCTAATAGTAATCGATAGACCATGCTACTTTACTCTCTTCAATTCTCATTCCTCTCGATCCCTACCTTACAGTCATCAATGCACCACGTACGGAGACACAGGAAGGCTCGTATATACGTAGTAAGGAGGTATCCACTCTCCCCTCAAGTAAGTACCTATCAACCTAAACATCCCTAGAAAGAATGAAAGAAAAAAAGAAAGAAACATCAACTGTCACTCCCCAAACAAAATCAAATCCCCGACATCATTCCTTGCATGTCTCTCCCCAATCCCCCCTAAGCAACATACCAAAAACGCCCAGAGTGACCGACCCCCCATTGAATCCCCCCTAGCGTTTCACCATCAATCCACACCCTCACCTGCTCATTCTATTCTCTCTCCACGCCCCGACACCCCTCAATCAAACATAGATCGATCAAGGACTAGGTCATCCACGCACAAGCGTATCGGGCAACGGGTTTTCCAACGCCGCTCCGAACGGACGGGTTGACAGGTACGATAGCCATGCTGTAGTGGCACGGTGGCGCCGTTTGTCTCACGCCGTCGATTGAAACAAGACAGCTTTGGATCTCGAAGCGGGGGAAGAAATCAATCCCGCTTGACCTGTCATTTTTGTTATTTTGGGTCTTTTGGTCTTTGGTTTGGCAGTGTCGCTGGTGGCTGGATTCAGTGACGGTTTTGAGACGAGGCTTTTACCGAGTCCTTTCGTAGTGCGCTGTAACGGTCATTCCGACTGGTCATTGTCCTGGATATGTTGGTATATTAAGTAGGTAGGTGTGGAGAATAGGTATGTGTTGGACGCCCCGTACTACTCCGTACCTACTTACCAAGTATCTGTTATAGATGGGAATGTTCTGCAGTAGCATCTTGAAAAACAAAAGATGACATCTCCAGACTGGCCCAGGGGCATACAATCTTCTAATTTTGGATTCTATCCGTACTCCGTCTTCCGTACATAGCATCAGCGAAGCTGGATTCGATCGTATTCTATCATTAAATTAATCTACCTAGCTACCCACCATCTGCATGGCGCTTTTCTCCACCTATCATCCTCAATAATCGTCCCTCCGAGGAGAGTTATTGAAATACATAGACCATCCCCGCTCGGTCCACACTAACCACCATCCCATAAGGCACCCGCAGCACGGCAACGTCCTGGATGAAGTCCAAATGGCTTTTCAGCAATTGCTGCTGCTGCAGGCTGATCACCGTACTGCGAGGCAAGCGCCCGCCGCCTCCCCCCTTTCGATTATTCCCGCTCTTGCCCGCCCCAGCGGAAGACGGCGGAGGGCCAGGGATATGCTCGGTCGTCACCACGAGCGACCCCCTAGGCTGAGACATGTCATAACGCGGCTTTCCCGTTGCCCCACCGTCCGAGACAACGTCCAGCCCGCTGACAATAGTCGACAGCTCCGGGCGCGCCAGGTCCCAAAACCGGATCTTGCGGTCGCAGCCCCCGGAGATGATGTACCCGCAACGCGTGGTGCCACTGCTGTCCCTGCCGTCGTCCGGGCTGTCGAACCCAACCGTAAAGGTGCAGATACCTGCAGGCGCAGCGCCCGCAGCTGATGGCCCGGACGCCTGGTCGACGGCGGCGCTGCCGCCAGGGGCCGCCGGGCTCTCCGTCGCGAACCGACTTAGCATGCCTTCGGGCCGGTCGCCCTCCACGTGCCAGGCGGCGTACTCTTTGGCCGTAGCGTAGGCGTTTTTCGCCGGGCTGTCCTCCGCGCCGCCGGAATCGGCCACGTAGGCCTCGCGGCAGAGGACCTTCTCGATGTCCCAGACGGTGACTTCGTTGCCGTGTTTGCCGCTCCCTGAGACGCAGACCCATCGTCCCCGTCCCTTGGTTGGGTGGACCTGCAGGCGCTGGATGGTGCTGGAGCCAGGAAGGCCCCAGGCCTTGAGACGGACGCGGAAGCGCAGGTCCCAGAGGTCGAGGATGCCGTGTGTGGTACCGATCAGCAGCCAGTTGTGTTTCCGGTCGCAGCAGAAGGTGGTGGGCGTGCCGTGGTGGACCGGGTTCTGCAGAGTATACGCCGGGATCATGGTTTTCATGTCCAGCGCCACCACGCGGCATGTGTTGGTCGCGATGAGAAGCGTCGATTGGGCATCCACGCGGAAGTGCTCCATCCAGACGGCGTATTCCGCCGATCCGTCGTCGGCCAGCGGAAGTTGGTACTCGCGCACAAGCTGGAGTTTCCCGTATCGGACCGTGTCGTTGACGTTGTGGTAATCAACCTTCACTGCGTGGATACTTCCGTCGTCGGCACCGCTGACGAACGTGTAGGTGTTTTCAATAAAGGTTAGGGTTTTGACCTTGGCCTCTGTAGAATGACGGTATGTCTGACGTGATCTGGGCGTCAAGTTTCTCTCCAGCCGCGTTGTATCCCAGACCTTGACGGTGCCATCGTCGGATCCCGTGACGAAAAACGAGTGGTCTGGGGCCACGATGACTCGGTTCACCGGCCCGCGATGCTCTCCAAAGATGGCGACGAGGCCTCCCGTCGGCTTCCAGACCTTGTTTGCATCGTCTTCGCTAGCTTTCTTGATTGGCCGTCTCGTGTCTATGTCTTTAACGTAGGGACCGAGATCAAAGAAATCCGTGGGGTAATTCTCTGCGAAGACGGAATCCAGCAGCCTAAGGACTACAGGATCATCTCCGCCGTAAGAATGGTTGGCGTGGTATTGAGGCGGGCTCGCTTTTCTATCAAGCGTACTTGGCTGAGCAGACGGCTGAGGGCTTTGCGTTGCTTCGCGCTGAGAGGGGATATCCACTTTGCCAAACGCGTTGGCGGCACTGGTACTTGTTTCGGCATCTGCCTTGGCAATGTCCTTCCGGTTGAGTAAGCTCATAGCGCTGGACTTTCTATGTACTCCACTGCTCAGGTACTTTATTGTGGGATTCTCGGGGTCTGTTGGTGTGGAGGGGCTCTCCTGAGCGGGACTGTTCCCACCAGGCGAAACTCTGCGTTCAGCATCGGAGCCAGGTGGTGATAATGGTCTTGATCCAGGGACCGCACTTGGGGAAGACGCCACCGGTGAAGATGTAGCTGACTGTTCCGCTCGAAGAGTGTCCACTGTATTAAGTCTTGCAGGGACCGTAGAAGCGTCCGACTCTTTCGGTAACTGACTTCTGGTCCGTTGATGTTTGCGACGGGTGTTCCCGTTCTCAATCGTTGTCGAGGCATCAAGCAGTGCGTCAGCGATGGTGTGTGGCTTGCGCTCCCTAGGCTCGCCTTTACTGACGGACGACTTTCGTGGCTTGAGGTTTTGATTCTTGTCAAAGAAGACAGTTTGCGGGGTGACTCCCTGCTGCGTCAAAGCAATTATATTATTGAGGGACGTCGCATTGTCAACATCTGCCGTTTGACGCGCAGAAACTCTCCAGATGTACTCTCGGAGAGCGAGTAGCTTGAAATCGTCGTCGGGAACCATTCCCATGTTTCGTAAGCGTGTAATCCACTGTTCATCTTCCTCGGTTTTAGCCTGGGCACTGAGAGAATAGTTTGTGCCTTTCTGGCCTCCTTTGGAGATACCGCCGTTCCCGCCTAGATTAGACATTCCATCTCGCATGGCCGACTTCCAGAACAGCCCTTTCTCCGCCTTGGAAGCCCACACAAACGCTAGTTCATATACGCCTCTCGAAAGAGGTTTCTTCAGAGCATCAAGGATTTCCTCTTCGGAGAAATTCAAAATGTTCACCTTGAGGAAGGGTCGGATAAGAGGAGAAAGGATCGAGAATTTATCAGCCACTGATAGGAATTTTGTTGAGCTGACCACCAGATTCACCGCTGCTTCGCGAATCCAAATGTTGGGGTGGATGAGAAACCGCACTGTGACGTGAAGGATGTCCCATGTAGTTGATCGCTGGAGCAGACCCAAATCACCCATGGAGGCAAGGGACCGAAGCACTCTTTCCACGACGAATTCTTCGGGATCAGTCATTGACTGGACCATGAGGGGGAGGATGTACTGCTCCAAGCTTGTGGATCCAGCATAGGCTGCAACCCCAACGACAGCCTCGAAGAAGGCGCATTTCAAGATCCAATCCCGATCGTTTAAGTATGTGTTTAAGTGACTTAGGATCACCTCGTTTGTTTTGATGTTCCCGAAGAACACGCATAAACTTGATACTGACCCGAGGAAAGCGCGGCGCACGGAAGCATCACTATCGGTCAATAATGCCTTCGTGTGCGCTTCAAAATAATCAAGAAGATCCACTCTAGCAACATCGTAGAGGTTATGGTAGGTGGCATCTTCAGTCCATCTTGGCTCCGATTCAGCCGGTATCAGAGTCGGTAGCCGAGTATCCGTGCGGAGCGCCTGGATCATATCCAGGAATCTCAGCGAAGATTGCGCGAGAGAGGCAATACACGACGCATATGCCGCACGAACAAGTGGAGAGGGGCTTGAGTTGGCGCTGGGGACAAATGGCTGGATTCTTGGGAATATGTATTCCGAAAAAAGATAGGCATTGACTGGTGATACGACCTGAACCATTTCTAGAAGCTGCGCAAGGGCTCGTATGGCAGCAACTCGCACCGAATCTGTTCGATCATTGAGAAGCACCATGATGTAAGGGAGAATGCGGTCCAGCTTGTCTTCGTCCGACAACCTTTCGGCAAATGCCAAAAGAACATCACAGGCCTTCACGCGCACCGAAGACTTAGACGTATTGCGTAAGCTCGATACAACCAGCGTAAGGAAAATCAAGACGCCATCGTCAAGCGGAAGTTGCGACTTGGAGGTTGGGTTCCCATAGTGCGGCAGGTCAAGTTGCACTGGCAGAGTATTACCGGTGAGCTTCGGGGTGGTGCGACTAGAGCCATCTTCCTTAGGCTGGGGGGTTGCGCCAAGGAAGTAAGATATCTTGTCGAAATCCAAAAATATCCTCTCAATCCGATCATCAGCCTCCCCTCGGTTTGCAGACGCAGCGTCGACTTGCGTTTTCCCAGAGGACGGGTCTGTCATGAGCGACATGTACTGATGAAGAAAGCTGTAAAAGTAGTCTGGGAAAGCCTTGTTCTTCCAGAAATTCAAATATTCTTCCGCCGAGTATCTCGACTCCGGTTCAAGCTGGATCATGTGAAGGATCAAAGCTCGGATCTCGGGGTCCTCGACCTTGGCCAGAGTATGTTCTGGGCTGTATTCGCCTTGGCGGTATTTATACATTTGATGCAACGTGAATATTGGCGACTCTAGGAAGAGTTCTGCGATCACACATCCAGCACTGAATATGTCCATGGCCCAGTTGACACTCTGACTCGCCGGCTTATCTCCAGCCATCAGAAATCTCTCCGGGGCCAGATAGCAGGTTCGTCGCCCCGATGCGTCGAAATAGAAATGAAAATCGGCTGGGTTATCCTCCGGAAGGTACGTCGGCTTGAAAGACGACGAAAAGTCCGAGAGATATACCCAATTCCACGACGTGACTAAGACACTCTCTGTCTTGATATCGCCGTGGAAAACATCCAACGAATGGCAGTCCCGCAGAGCGCACAGAAGCTGGAATGCAATCCATTTCTTCTCAATGTCCTCTGGGAAAGGACGGGTGCTGTTTTTTAGTCAGACTTGTCACAATGGCTAAGATACACACGACATACCTCATCCGATCATAGAGCGAACTATGCATGTATTGGCGGACCAGATACCCGCAGGTGCTGGTCTCCAATATTCTATGATAGCTTAGCGCATTAGGCACCTCCGAAAGCAGCTTTCGTTCCCCTACGAGGACTGGTTAGAGCGTCCATGGCGGCCAGTATAGAGAAGTAAAACATACGGTTGATGGCCTTGACATAGGGCGCCAGCTCCATGCTGGGGTAAGGCTTCACTATTACCTTTACTAGAACGAGGCCATTTTGCTGTCTTGCTCGTATGCTCTTCATAAATCGGCCACCGCCCATAGACTTCTCATACGTCAAGTCCGACAGCTCGGGGACATCGATCCCCGCCGAACCCGCCGACAGGGTCGTGAGGGAGTAACCTTGGCCCATGATGTCGATGTACCTTCATCTCACAGGCAGAGTCGAATCCGGTATCACCATGCGCATCAAAAACGATGGGATAATGAATTATCTGTAGAGCAGCTCTACACGCTGATCTCGACGAGCAATCGGAATTCAAGGCTGGATGGAATTCCTGATGAAGGTTGATGGGATGAAGTCAGTTGACGCGCTTGAGTAGTCACATGATGACGGGCGGTGTGGGTCTCCGATCTTTTTGCCATGATGATCCAAGATATTTTGATTGAACAATTAGGCATACTTTCAGTTTGTTAGATATGATAGACGTACTTGATATTTTATATTACAAATATCTTATGATTCCTCCACTAAAGTATGTTTGAAGTGTGCCTGTGGTTCAATATATATTGCTGGATAAACATGTTCACTGTCTGAACCAGTGAACTAACTTGAAGTTATATTTTGGAAACACACAGTATTTAGTTATATATGTAGGAGAAAGCTGACAGAATTAGTAAAAGTATAATATACTGTATACAATATATGAAATTTTGATGTATGCATTAACGGAGAGGCGCTTGAAAGAGAGATTAGAATTAGAAATACAAAAGAAAATTTTAGAATATGCGTTCCAATCAGATGACAGACCAAGTGTTTACTGTATGTATTCACTGCTGTCTTTCATAGTATATATAGTATCTTGAATGGTTTCGTTCCTCTGAGAATGCATATCTGATACCGATGATACAAATAGTGCCAAGACACGTGGAGAAGTGTACTTCACACGCTAAATCGCGGAGCTCTGCTCAACCTCCCACCAGCCAGCTTTCCTTGGCAGCCCACATCAATACCAGGGTTCCCACGGAATGGCTTCATCGATCATGGATTCGTCCAGCCAGTCACTTCCACCAGAGAACGGGGTCCCGGAGATCCCGATCATCGATGACCAGGAACCGCTTATCGATGTGGTCCGGAAATTGTACAAGTAATTGCGACGTTCCCAACCCGCCTCCATCTAGTCCAAACCATCAACTCAGGATGTTCTGACCTGTATGGCTTTTCCAGTTTTCTCATATTAGCTATATGCGATGTGTCGTATACGTTCGACCAGATGAGGTCCACGCCTCATGGTCACAATCTCCGATGCCTGATACATTCCCTGGCGGAAGAGTCCCGCAACCCCCGGATCATTTCCGCTTTGATGTAGGTGAACTTATACCAGTCCTATAGTTTCTGGTAATCGTCAAGATCTAAAGTCCATCTGGTAGGATCTTAAAATGGCAGTTCAGCAAAACGGCTGAATGGGACTGGGGACTGAATGAAAGCCGTGGGTATGCCTGCGAGTACATTGCTTGGCAGTTCTTGTGTCATCTCGACCAGCGCGAGACTATCCGGTTCCTGCTGGATGAGCTCGAGACCCCAAATCCGTTTGGAGGTAATTTTGCTGGAGTTGATAGGGACCCCTTCGGACTTCCATTACGCGTTGGTGGCCAAGATCGTCAAGACGACGGCGTGAGAACCCCATTGTTATTACAATCGTCTTCCTTTTACCGTTTCTTTGGCGGAAGAAGACAAGCCACGGGGTACTTTGATGAAGAGGGCCAAGAGGGTGACGATACGCCCAAGCGGGCTTACGAGCTAGAAAGGTATTCCTTGTTTTTCGGACTCAATGCGCTCGAAATTGCAGTTATCGCCCAGGCAAAGAAGTTTCTGAGCCAAAAGGTCGTCCAGAGGGTCACGGACAAGATCTGGAAGGGAGAAATTGTCTTCTGGGATACTTTGAACGTGCATTCGACCAAAAGACCGCATTTCTTCGATAAAAGGTAGAGCGTCGCGCGCGGGACTCACGGACCATTCCCTGCTGATGTTTGATATAGTACATCGGATCTCTACTCACGTCTGCGAGTTCCAGTATACCGCAAAACCTTCGAAGCTGCTTTTTTCGTCTCTTTCTTGCTTCTGTACTATGCTGTGTTAGTCGAGAGAAAGTCAACCGGCATTGGGATATTTGAGACCCTGATGTATTTCTGGATTGCTGCGTTTGCATACGACGAACTGAGCGATATGGCAGATGCAGGGATGCTCTTCTACCAGATGGACTTCTGGAAGCTTTGGAATCTGGGAATCATGGGCACAGGCCTGGCCTTCGTTGTGGCGAGTGAGTCACCAGCCCCTTGCGAATCTGCCTTGCAAAGCCCCTTTGAACTCCCAGTTGGGTGACACAGCTGGTGCTACTACCCAACTTAGTTTTCTGACTCGATCGGCACCTAGGGATCGTTGGGTTAGCGAAAGAGAGTGGTTACATCACCGATTTATCATTTGATATACTCTCCTTGGAGGCTCTGTTTCTAGTGCCTAGGCAAGACTCGCTCTCATTCGGCGCTGTACGAGGCTAACACGGGTGAACAGGATATGCTCGCTTGTGAGCTTGAACTCGTACTTTGGGAGTCTGGTATGTCAGAACTAGCGACATCACGTAGAAGGACACCATGTGCGGGAACAGCCACTGACAGTCTGCATGGACCCGTAGATACCAGTTCTAAAGGAGATGGTAGCACACCCGGCTGATCGAGTGGGGCACTGTTGAGCAAGGCTGATACTATGGGACCAGACTAAAGCATTTTTCCGATTCATGCCTGTGGTAGTGGTCTTGTACATCGGTGGGTGGTCCCGATCCACCTGGGAGGGGGCGAACGCCCGATGCTAAATCGTCTGCAGGGTTCCTGACAACCTTCACGATGCTCGCCCGTGACCGACTTTCCCTCCGGCAAATGTCATGGATCCTGGTGAAAGTGTTCTTCGGGTATGGCGGTGAACCCCTCTCTCTAGAGATCGTTCGCTTTTCTGACTGACGCTGCGAGGCAGATCGAATGTGCTGGGTTTTGTTCGTTCCTCCTGCTTGTTGTGGAAAGTGTTCTTTAAACTGACCGGGTGGCTGGAATGATTGGATATTAGGACATCGCTCATGATGTGAGTCTGTGCGCCAAGCGGCTGTCATGCAGTCGCAATGGCAATTTCCAGGGTCATTGAAAAATTGGTTGGCTCTCGCGTTTAGTTGACTGACGCGCTAATTCTTAGATTTCCCCGATCTTCGGCTACGTTTTGATGTAAGTTTCTCTCTTTCGGTCTTCCCTCGCCGACTGCGCCACAGGGACTGTGGAAAAGTCGGTCGCATATGTCTTTAATCACGTTTTACCTGTGCAAGCGGTTATAATACCGCCGATGGGTGTGCAAACTACCTTTTGGAGTGACGTGGGCAGCATGGATGGCGCATGATGCTTGATCGTCATGGACATGTTGGGGTTTGCACAAGCCACAGCATGCAACAGAGCCCTGTCGTGGTCCTTGGCATGGACTTGGATTCTTGGGAAATGAATTTCTCATTCATTCATTCATTCATTCTTTTTTTTTTTTAGATTAATTTTCTCTTTCTTGATTTTCGAAAGGAAAGTAAAGGGAAGGAGAGAAATACTAATTTAGTCATCTAGGTTGATGTTCGTGTGCATGACAAATTTGCTCCTGATCTCTTCGTTGGTGTCTCTCATGAGCATGAGCTTGGAAGGGGTATGTCCAACGGGAATGAATATCCCATTCGATCACTCTTTGATTTGTCATGAAAGGTGCTAACTGGGAGTTTTTTCCTAATTTCCTTGGCCAGGTTATGTCGCATGCACGGGAAGAATATCTTTTCCAGTTAGACTCCTGCCCAATTAGACCAGTATGGACGCGCTAACCAGTGTGGAAATAAGACTTTCAATCTATGTGCTGGAAAGCAGCAATTCCCGCCGACTCACCCATTTTTTGCCGCCTTTTGTCAGTTCTCTGGATTTGCCTGGATTTTAATCTGGACTTTGATAGGATGACAGATCACTGACAGAGCCCACGACGCAGAATCTCATCCCCCTCCTTTGTATCCGACCCATGAGGCTTTTCCTCTCTGCAGGGCACATCCGCCGAGTCCGCATCATTTTGCTCCGGGCGACACATCTCCCGTTTGTTGCATTGATCTGGGCCTATGAATCTAGCCGCCGGCACTTCCCGCGGCGGCGACAGAGTCAGTTTCCCCTGAAGAGCGTGGCTCCCAGGAACAGTCTGAGTCGGCCGTCATCGACGCGGACCGGACGGGCACCCTCCACGCAGCGCCCTCATGCGGCCTCTGGGCCCGCAACCGACGTTCGCCCGCTGGGCGCTGGCAAACCTAAGGCTCACACTAGCCCGGGACCGCATCCCGAAGCGCGCGGCCTAGACCCAGGACGTGCTGACATCGCGGATATGATCGACGAAGTGGAACAATTGCGGACCCAAGTGGAGCGAGTGGCCGCTACGGTGGCCTGTCATCAACGAGGACGGTAAGGTGGACAAGGCAGCAGACCACCTATTTTGGCGGGGTAAGGCTGTTCATGCCAATAGAAGCCATGATGATTTGGATGGCAACCTTTGCAGGCAACTTGGAATTGTCTGACATCAAGAGGGGAACGTGTAGTGGAGCGAGATTAAATGCACGCACCTGGACAGGGACGGCGTCAGGGCCTAAGGTATTAGCGTGGGAACCGGTCACGGACCAACTGGAACTGGAGATGGTTCGAGGTGCGGTGCAGCACTATGTCATTTAGTCGAATTAGTAGCAAGGAACTTGTGATCGATGTTCATACCGGTATGAGACTGTCATGTTTTTTTTTTTTTTTTCTTTTTCTTTATTCTCCTGCCATATGTAGCATCTTTGTTTCTCTGCCATTTATTTATTCTATCTTTATTCTTATCCGTTCTTTCTGTTATCGTTTATTTATTTCCTACACAATTTGACTTACTGTTTAATTGATACAGTGTATACAGTCAACCCGGTATTCTTGATACGGACGGGGTAGCAGATTATTACATACATCCAAGACTATATTGGACATCATTAACAATGAACAATCATGCTAGAATAATAGCGACCAGAAGATAATGCGGGACAAAGAAAGTCAAATAAATTAGACCTGTTAATATTATCAATCCAAAACATAAAACAATTCCAGGGCTCAGGATTATTGCCCCTCAGCCCATCCAGGCACCTCGTACCCAGGCTACAATGGAGACCTTCTCGAAGTAACATTCACTTCCCCGTACCTGACAGGGAAGGATTGGAACCGATAGAAAAAAAAGAAAACAAGGCAGATTGACCAGCCCCTGAAGCCGGGGGGGAGATGTTCCATACGATACCATACGGTAAGATGGAGGTACCAGGTACTTCTGGCCACACTCGCAAGTTACCTTAGGTACTACTCTCAGTTGGCTTTCACCAGTAGCTTACTGGTTCATCTTTTCTCTATCCTGCAGCTTCTTCCTTCCACTTCTTCCTCTTCCTCCACGCCTCTTTCCCCTTGTTTTCCCGGGTCGTGCGGCTGTGTTTGCCAATCAGCACGGGCGACACGCACTGCTGTTTTGCCAAGGTAAGTTTCCAGACTGTCGGGTCCGATCTAAACCTATCTGGTTCTGGTGGAAGGAATGTGCAGCCAGTGGTTTCGCCCAGCCGGTGGTGATCGGGACCGTCAGGCGATCCCATAGGGTAAGGAGAAAAGATGGTGGTCGACGGGTCAGGAATGGAGTCCGTCACTAACACAGGCAGTGCTTCAACTCTCCTGTCGACAAATGATTCTTCTTCGGGCTTTTTGGGATTCCCCTGTATTCTCGCAATCCTCTCCCCTCTTCTCCCTCCTCTTTCTCTAGTCTTGTCTTCCCCCCACCACCACCACCACCACCACCACTATCCCCCTCCCCACACCCCCTGGTCTGGTTTACCAGGTCACTGCCCATCTTCCCCCCCTGTACTTTCACTGCGTTGTGCCAATCTTGTCTAGGCTCTCCGGAACTTGCATAGGTCCGTTAGGCCACAATCATGACGGCTCACTGCCAATCCAGGGTTTCCACCTGCTTAATTTATTCCATGGACGACAATATCACGCCGTTCTGCTTATTTTTTTTGGCCTGATCACACTTATCCGGCGCTAAATGGCGGTGCATGTTGATTATATTATTTGATTTATTAGATTTCTGCTTGTTATTAATCATTTTATTGTGGTCATTATATCATGATTATATTATGTTATTTTTGTTTATTTGATTTTATTGATTTTTGATTTATTTATCGCTGTCTGGAGACTGCAGAGATGCGCTGCAGTCAAGCGGATTCGGGCTTCCCCAAGGTTAAGCCTCCCACACACACACCTATCCCCCCCCCCCCCCCCCCCCCCCCTCCTCTTCCTTACTCTCCGCCGCATTCATGCACATCGATTCCACGAATCTGCCTTACCTGACCAGGCGTCAAGGGTGCTTTACTCCTCTCCACGATATCGATGCAGCGGACGCCTTCCTCCAATGATTCTATGGCTTGTTCCGTTGCTTTCTTTTTCAGCCTCTGTTCATGTTCGCCACTACTTCGTTCAACCTGCAGCCAAGCGGTTGAGTAGTTATCTTCCTATATAGATCCCCTTATAACGCCTCTCTGCTCTTGAAAGCTAGCCCTAGTTTTTTTTCCCGTCTTACCACATTTGACCCTTGAGCGTGTGAGCGTGAGAAAGAGGAAGAGAATTCCATTTCAAACAACCAGTCAGACAACTCTACGCAGAAAAACCAACCGGACACTCGCACGGACTTTCTTTGATACAGTCATTGGCCAATCCTCGCCTTCGTTGGGAAAATCTTTGTCTACTGTTCTGCTTCGTCTCCTTTGTGTACAATCTACTTGTCCGGGGGCTATCTCACCGTTCCACCAACATGGACCGTAAACCGACCTCGTTTCATCCACCCACTTCTCTTGCCCCCTTACCATCCGATAACCACATGGTGCTAGAAGCCACATCAACCTACCCATCATCGACCACAGCAGTGTCGAGTTACCCATGCGATACTCACTCGTTGGTGGGCTTGGGCATCTCACACGGGGAGATGCACACTCCTGTCAGCAACTTGTCCGTCTATACCGCACCCGAGGCCTTTGCGTATCCAACAGCAACAACAACAACCGGCTGGAGTACCCAGTCGATGGTTCCTGGACCCCTTTTTGACAACACCATGCACGTCGGCCATCTGTCACCCCCAGCCACCTATGAACCGTTCGTTGACCGCACCGACGACTCGACCTCCCCCATGAGTTACTACAGCAGTCACGCTCTGAGTGCCTCATCCAGCTACGGTCCCATGATGGATATGGGGCCGAATCCAGATGGAATGACTCATGCGTTTCGATCGTTTACGAATACCCCTGTCCCTGTTGCTGGTGGCCTCGCCGACGACGGGGTCGAAGTGAAAACAGAGCCCGAGGATACGTTGGATCTGCCCTCGGTGGCCGATACTAACGAGACTGTGGGAGACTCAGTATTTAACCAGTGGCACAAGCAACAAGACCTCTACAGCGTTGCCCCCAGCTATTACCCACTGCCTGCGTACCATGCCAACGTGGTGAAGTCGGATCGACACGAAGACAGTCTCGTGAGTGAGGTTCGCAGGACCTCACCATCAAACGGATCCAAGAAGGTAATACACGAATTTCTGCTACTGTCGTTGCCAGATTGCTAAAGATCTCCCGTAGGGGATGCCCAAGCCAGACGGCTGTACCTGCACGGTGTGCGGATACCATTTCACCCGACGCTCCAACTGCATGGAGCATATGAAAAAGCACGATCCCAGTCGCAAGCGAACCTTTAGCTGCAAGCTCTGCGGCAATACGCTGGGGCGAAAGGCCGACCTCAACCGGCACATCGATAGTGTAAGTACAGCAGTTCCTACACGGGGGACTACCCACTGAACAGGAACCAGATTCATCTCGGATTACGGAAATTTGGCTGTGAGAAATGCGGCCAACGCTTTACTCGACAGGACATTTTGAACCGGTAAGTCGGGACGAACTTCCCCTCAAGACTGTATCTATACTAATACAAGTAACGTGCTAGACACTCCGCCGACGGCTGCTACCAATCCGTCCGAAAAGCGACTCGCGCGAAGAAAGGCAGCAGGGACCACCAGCAATCGCAGTCCCCGGAGCATTCGTCGAAACATAATTAGACACGTTGGAATACGCTGGACAGGGCGACTATAGATACGATTTCGAAGTAGGCCATTTTGGCGTTGATCGCGAATGGCGTGGCTTCTACGAATTAACGGCCGAGCGATTTACTCATCTATATACCTATCTACCTATCGATAAAGGTCATACGACGCATAGTGTTAGCAATTGGGTGGAATTTTTTGCTTGCTTGTTGCGGTTGATGTTGTTTCTTTCTTTCTTTCTTTTTTTTTTCCTCTTCTGAGGTGTCTCTCCTTTCTCTCCTAA